GTAAACACACAGCTGTAGGCCGCCCAATGTCATAGTGTAGGTATTATCTCGCATTTTTAAACACTTACACGCCCCTTGGCCCACAAACTGGAGTCTGAGCATCATTTGTTTTTTTAACGCCTACGAGATTCAACTGGGCACAAACGGTTGATGAAGCCCGAGCTTTGACGATATGTCATCACCACCCACCAGCGATTCACCGAGCGTGCCCAACTCGCCGGGGTCAGACACGAGATTGTGCCCTGATGCGAGCAGACAGCCCGGCCCCAGTGTATTGAAGGCGTATCTGCTCCAGAATGCCCCGGAATATCAGAGGCTAGACGCGCTACGGCAAAAGGTATGCTGTTTATTGACTTTGTTCCCTTTTCCCTGCTTGAACCCTTGGGAGAGAGAGAGAGAGAGAGAGAGAGGGTGTGGTATTGAGGTAATCTTCGGAAGTCTTACACGGTATAATTTTACTAGGGTTGGGAAAACAAAGCTGGAGATGTATTCTTCCAACAGCAGAGACAGCGAGCAGACCACCCGGACCAAAGAACAATCACGTTCTTCTACAAGATGATGAAAGGCATTGCAAAGGAGATGCACTCAACAACTGGCGGCGCGCTCCGCGTCCACGCGAGAAGACCAGATAGGCCGCAGATTCTAGACTTCTGCACGGCTCCGGGTGGGTTCCTCGAATCGGCCATCAAGATTAATTCTGGCGCCAGAGCCACGGCCTTCAGCTTGCCGCCCACTCAGGGAGGGCATGAGATCATCATGCCGCTGGACTCTAGCGTGGCCTTCAAGTATGCGGACGTCACCATGTTTGCCGGCGACATGGGTTACACGGACGCCGTGCCAGCAGAGAACCCTGATGCGGCCAGCTTTGTGCTGGAGCGCAGCGTTGGCCCTGAGCAGCGCTTCCATCTCGTCTTCTGCGACGGGCAGGTTCTGAGAACCCATGTCCGGGCTGCCTATCGGGAGCGGTGGGAGGCGCGGCGTCTGACAGCGACGCAGCTCGCCATTGGGCTCGAACACGTCTCGCTTGGCGGGACCATGGTGGTGCTTTTGCACAAGCTAGATGCCCCCGACACGGCGAGCCTGTTGCACACGTTTAGCAGGTTCTCTACCATCCAGCTCTTCAAGCCGAAGAAGGCTCATGCGAAGCGATCCTCGTTCTACATGGTTGCCCGGGACATCCAGAACGATTCGCCGCAGGCACGGGAAGCCATAGACGCCTGGAAGCTCATGTGGAAGACGCTGACTTTTGCCCCCGACGAAGATCGCTGGAAGGCCGCGGATGGCCACATGGATGAACAAGAGCTGGTGGAGCAGTTTGGGCCGGACCTTGTAAGGCTCGGGAGGAGCATTTGGGAGATTCAGGCCGAAGCTCTCGAGAAGGCGCCGTTCATGCAGGCCGGGCAGAATTGAGCATGGAAAGAATGGGCTGAAGAAGCTCTTTGGTCAACACAGGCAGTGCATGTGGTCAGCTGCAGATGGATGGCAAACCGGTATTGATTGACGCGGGTAGATGGTCGTAGCGAGCTGTGATGCTCTACTGCTAAGAAATTTTCTTCTGGCATCGCTTCGCCTCGCCTCGCCTCGCCTCGTGTCCCCTTGTACATACATACAGTAGGCATTCCCTACATTAGTAAACTTTTTGATTAGGCCAAGCCACGTCCCGATTCAGTTGGCCAGGCCCGTGAAGCTTCCTGGAACGGGCATGGCAACAGCCGAGGCTGGTTAGGTCGCCTGCGGTGAGTTGTCAAATCGACATGGTCAGCCCATCGCCAGAGCCTCGGAAGCCTTATGGCAGCCCGCTAGACACACCGCTTGGGTAGCTGGCCGGATTCGCGATTGAGTGGCTGTCATTGGAGGAGAGGCGCAGGAGAGGCGGCGGAAAGGAGGTCAAGAAGAGGTGGATTGTGCGTACATGAGATTGCTGCAAGTGTATGTAAAGTCTGTATCATGGAGTCTATGGAGCCCAAAATGGATGGGCGACGCAGAAGGTTGTTGAGGTGCAGGTGATGTATCATGTGACTGCACCTCTGAAGTTACAAAGCAGAGCAGGCTGTACAAAGAGTTGGGAATGGCTCCGAAATATCATAACGGAGCAGCTGATAATAGCATATGCTTGCAATTTGTTAGATGTAGCGGATGCCATTGTTGTTGAATTACGACTACAAATCTGGTACATGATACCAGCATTACGACATGCGCCAAATATCACAGTATGATTGATATGCCTACATGTGGGTATGGAATGGAGTAGAGAAAGAGTGAATAGAGCAAAGGGGAGAGGGAAGCAGAAGGATGAAGAGCTGGCGGCTGATGACAAACTGCGTTCTCTCTCAGATGCACTTCGTACTCGTAACAGAGACACTAGGCAAAGGCCCGCTGCAGACAAGAGTCCACCTCTCGATGCTTCGATTCCTGCCCTGCCTCAATTGCTGACTGGCAACTGCATAGGCCCAGACACACTTATTCTCGCTACGCACGCAGCAACATGCAGGCTCATACGACTTACAGGATCTGCGAGCCTGCAAAGACGTACGTTTGCTGCAAGTACATATATCCGCGACACACGCATGGCTGTTTTTGTTGATGTTGCATGTCAGACGACGCGGCGCATGACGGAGCGGCGAAACTGCAACGAACTGCTGCTGCTCCGATGGAACGCGCTCGGCCCCGTTGCCAAAGCCATTGGCTGAGAGGCGTTTTGACGTGACTGATCGGGGCGCTCGGAGGGCCAGCAGAGATGGAGAGAAACAGACAGAGAAGAGGACAGACAGACAGACAGACAGACAGACAGACAGACAGACAGGGAGAGCAAGGCGGTTGGACATGGCATCCTTGGTGCTGCGACGGAGGGCCGCTTCGTGCTACTGCTGCGATGCTGAGCGGCGACGACGCATGGAGGTGTCGGGCGCGGCGCCTGATTGGGCCCTTGTGCGTGAGCTGGCACCCCTTCTCTGCTGCCGCAGTGCGTGGACGACGCAGATTGGGCAGCGCCTGGCAGAGGCTGGGGCCGTTTCGTGGTGGACAGGGATTGGCCGGTGGATGCGATTGCGTCCCAGATGCCATGCCAATGCAATGCACAATGCACTGCCAACTCATCTGGCCGCGGGCCACTGGCAGCCGCAGAAGACACCCGGCGGGCACCACCCTCTCGCGCTTTTCTGGGGCCTTTTCTGGGTCCTGGGCTTGAGTCACTTCCATGGCTTCTCTCAGTCAGTATCTACGCCTGCATGCCATGTAGTATGTATGTATGTATGTATGTATTCATTCGTATGCAGCAGAAGCAGAAGCAGAAGCAGAAGTAGAAGCAAGCGGCGGCCGGCGGGAAGCGTGAGGGAACAACAAAAAAAAAGTGTGTGAGAACCGAGAGGCGTGGGTGGACTCGCTCGTCCTCCATCTCCCGCCTGCTTCTAGCCTGCTGCTGTATATGCATTCGGCATTCTGCATCCTGCACTCTGCCTGCACTCTTCCGCTGCCTGCGCAGGACGGGCACCTATGCTGTACTACCTGATATCAAATCCAAGCTGTAGACGGCGTGTAAGCTACTGTACATGTACCATCGTAGTACCTCTATCCTATATCATGGCGCCGCGGCTGTCTGTGTAATTCGCATCTCGAGAGCCGCCGCCACCCTTTCTCTCTCCCTCTTGCTCGTGCGAGAAACGCAGGTAGCCTCTCACGCTGCTGACACCGCCGCGCTACTTGTACCATCTGTGTGTGCTTGTGTAGCGCCAGCCAGCCATCCGTCGAATCGTCACCGGCCCCAAAGCGAGGGCGCCATCCATTGCCACCGGCATCGCGGTAGCGCTGCTTCGTACTGCCCGGCATCATCTCATCCCAGACCTCACATTGACGACTTGTACACCGAATACTGCACGCACCGGCTTCTGCCTACGCCAGCAGACAAGACAGCGCCATCACATCAGCGCCAGCGACACGTTGACCAGCCTCTCGTCAGCACCGTGCGCTCCAATCGCACCTTGTACACCGTTTCTTATACCAGAAAAGCAAAAACGATGGCCACGCCCAGTCCGGCCCAGCCCGACGTCTAAAATAGCCACCGCGACTTCTGGATATACGAGCGCCGCCACCCGCCATCAGGTACCGCCAGGGGGGGCTAGAACATCGCTGCTTGTCAACGGCCACCGCACCAAGAAGAAAAATCCATTCAACCCAAAAAAAAACACACGACCCCACCGCGAGCCGCCGAGTGCTGCGACAGGCCCTATAAGCTCGTCCCAGCAGCCCCCAGTGCCGCTGCTATCGGTGGAGCAGCGCTAAGACAGGAAGACGGGCCTGTTTTGCTACCCCACGCCGGGGCCAGCGCTGCACCGAATCGTGCCTTACAGCTCAACTGCCCTCTTCTGCTGCCTCTTAGCTCAGCTGCTCTGCGCTGGCCAACCTTTTCCTCTCGTCCCGGCCTGTCCAGCCTTCTCTCCTCTGCATCTTGCAGCCCGGCTTCGTCTTAATAATAACGGCTGCCGTTTTTATTAGCTGCGTCTCGCCGTCTTGTCTCCTCCTATTTTACACACTGTTCAATAGCTGCATCTGATAGGAGCTGGCTCTGCGTCGGAGTCCTCAGCTGTCTTACCAACCAAACCTCTCCGCACTCCAAGCCCCTCCAAAAAAACCGGCCGCCGAGCTGTTACTGCTCTCTGCCCTTTGAGCAGCTCACCATCCTCGACTTCTGCTATATATCTCTTGTCAACAACATCAACATCTTCACTGCTGCCGCGAGCTTAAGTGATTGCTTACATCTCGGTTGATTCTTTCATCGCCCTATAGCAGCTCCAGCCCGCCTCGATTAGACGCCCGTCGAGCCACTGTCAACGGCTTTCGAGCCCACCAGCAGAACCGCCCACGTTCCTCAGGGAACCCGAAATGCTTCCCATGCAACGCTCGCTCTCATCGCCAGACTGTATCCAATCCTCCCCACGTACGTTGCCGCCGTCCTCTGGCCCAGCCTCTGACCCGGAAACCTGTGACCTTGCACTCGTGTACTGATGGTTCATGCCACTGGTCCAGCCGTGTCACCCACGGCTGCTGCGCACGACTCGAGATCTTCGACTCCGTCACCGGACAAGAAGAGCAGCTCCAACTCGAACAACAGCAACTCCAACAGCACCAATGGCGCCGAGGCGCAGCGACCGAAGCGCTATGAATCGCGCAGTCCCAGCCCGACCCCGACTCGCACCTCGGACGTCCCCCAGACCTTGGCCCTGCGCCTGAGCGACGATGTTCCCCGCCGAGGTCGCCATTCGCCCATGGCCTCTCGAAAGCCCATTGTGGCACAGCCAAATATGCCAAACTCGGGCAACGCAAGACACGGCTCCGGTTTTCGGCCCTTGACCCCGACGAGCTCGTCCAACGAAACGCTGCCGGGCTCAAAATTTACAAAGAAGCCCCTGCTGCATGATGTGTCCATGTATACCAACACGCACCTGGTGCGAGACAGCGACAACACCACGCTCGAAGAGCTTGCCCATGTTGTGCGCCTGTCCAAATACCAGGAACGCAAGCGTGCCAACACTCGAATTCGCCTGCAGAGAAGCTTGATTTCCACTGCATTGAGCGCTCGCCTGACGCGCTGTGGTGAGATGGCCCATCGTTACCTTGTCGAAAGCTTCCGGAAAGATGACAAGGACAACTTTGCGGCTCTGTACAATGCCATTCACGATGTTCGCAAGAGCTGCGATGAGCTCCGGCGATATGCGCTGCTGGAGCCCGAGCTGGAATCAATCTCCTCGGCCGCTGCTCTGGGTTCGTCTGACAGCTTAGATACACCCACTAACTCTACAGTTGGCGTCGGTGATCCGCTCAAGTCCATTACTCCCTTTTTGCATGACATTTCTGCCTCTGCCAGGGAGACCTTTATCGAGTTTCTGACACAGATCCGAACGAACCCGGACTACTTGGCCACTCGCATATGTGCACTCACCAGCTCTGAGCTGAATGTCTTCCTAAACTTCCACAAGGGTTTGGAGCCTGTCGAGTCGGTTCTTCCATTCCCCACGCGAAATCCCAATCGGCCTCACGCAAGTGCCTCCGGCCGTAGCTCCTCCAATACCGACATCGAAAGACTCCTGTCCTTCCAGAGACATGATCCATTGTCAATCTTGATCCATGCTTGCTTTGCCAATTCGGCTGGCCCCGACAGCTCTGAAGACCAGCGGCGCACCGATATCTGGGCGACGGTCCTGGCCAAGCTGATTGCCGAGCCCAAATCTGCCGGCGAGCATTTCCTCATCTGTGTACTAAACATCTGGACAGCTATGCGCGACTGGTCTGGTAAATCCAACATGGAGTGGTACCTGATGAAGATTCTTGAAGATGGCGCCTTCTTGCTGGACCGCGCTGAAGATCAGCATGGCACGCGATTCAATCTCTCAGACTGGAACCAGTCGGACGAAGCCGCTGCCAGGGACTTTTACGACCGCGCCGTCAACGGCTTGTTCGAGCTTGTTGACGACGAGGACGCTACCGGTATTCCGGAGGGCCTTTTGGAGCTTGGAAACGCCATCCTGAGCAAGCTCGAAAATAAGTTTGTGGAGAATACCTCCAAGTGGCTTGTCTGGAGATGCCTCTTCTTTGTCTTTCTGCTTGGCGTCATCATCCACCCGGAATACTACGGCATGCTGGCCGAGTATCACATCACCCCTTATGCCAGAGAAAAGATTCTGAAAAAGGTTGCCATGAGAGCCCATGAATACGTTTCAAGCATGTGGAGTGGCAAGCCTTCGGCCACCTGTGTCCCTGTGAACATTCCTCCCAAGATCAAAGGCCACGTGGAAAACATCCTCGCCAGATTCCAAGGCACTCGGTCCAAGGTTCCCGCCGCTAAACTGCTGCCCGCGAGATCCATCACCTCCCTCAGGGAGACTGTCGAGGTCCGCCCCTACTTGGTCATCAGCCCTGCTGATTTGGCGACGCTGGCCAACGCTCTCTTCCCTGAGAAGCGGCCGCATTCCGCACGTTCGGGCCCAGCCTCCATTTCCGGGCTGTCGGCCATCTCCCAGCCCATCTCCATGTCCAGCCATCACAACAAGAATAGCTTTGATACGGCCTCCATCATCAGCACCAGTGCCTCGTCCATCTTGAGCGACGCAACCACGTCTCGTGATTTCATCTATGATCTCAACACTGCAACGCCCCGATACTCGCCTCCTGCTGAAGATCCCGAGGAGCAGAGGCGGATGAGCAAGTACGAGGATGATGGCTATCGCCTCAGACTCGCCATTCACGAAATGCAGCAGAACCTTGGCGCAGATGTCGTTCGTGGATCTAGCCACCCATGCGCCGAGAGGTGGGTAGTTCTCTTTATTTCTCCTGACGGAAAGAGCCTGTCTACGCAGATGACCTATGATCCGGATGACGAGCTGGAAGATGAGGAAAACTCATCCAGCACCGATACCGATGAGGACGAAACGCCGCAGCGCCCTGAGCTCGACAAGGATTACCATCAGCTACGTAACTCTGTTCTCAAGCTGGTGGAGGATTATGAAATTCCCCGCAGCTTGGAGCCAGAGCGCGGACGTGCCCAACTTAGCAATCGCGCTTCTGGACTGAGGAAATACACCTCAAGAAACAGAATCATCCAACCAGAGAAATCGGTTGCTAGCCGAAATCCTTATCGAAAGCAAATGGGCGTTGATGGCACAATTTCCACTACCGACTTGACGCCCAAGAAGCCTGAGGAGTCTGAGCCTGTCTTAATTACCATGCTCAAGGCGGCCTCATCTCAGTCCAAGGCCCAGGCAGACTTCGTCTCGGCGCACATGTACTGGAAGACGCTGAACCAGCTGACTGCATTGGCATCGAGCTCACTGCGACAGGACGGATTCGCAGCCCTCATCAACATTCTGGCCCGAGGACCGCGCGACGCCATTCGCCGCTCCGCCTCTGCCATTGAAGAATATGATGCGTGGCTCGTCTGGCTGAAGCAAAGCCAAGAGCGCCATGAAGGCCTAATCGACGGCATGATGAAGCGTGTCAACGCCATCCGCGACAAGATGTGGTATGTTACCGATGTTCGCAATTCCAAGGAATATGCGCACAGCCGTGACATTTGTCAGGCTCTCAAGACCATGGGTATGCCGCGTCGTTGGAGCTCGTTTCAGCGCTCAAGGGCTCACAACAACCGTGGTCCTAGTTCCTCCTACCTCTACCGCACCGAATCGCAGATTATGGACCTCCTGGCCGCTTCGGAGGAGCAGGGCGGGCCGAACAAGCTTAGCGACGATCAGGCAGAGATGACCTCCCTGTGGCTACAGCAATACGGCATCGAGAACTTCTGCCAGGGCGAGGAACGCATTCACCGGTTCTGCTGTGAGGTGGACCGATGCATTTCCAAGCTCGTCGGCGAGACCCTCCGAGAGGCACCGGTCCTGTGGTCCAGTGAGCTGTATAAGCGCGATAAGCTGGTTTATGACCGCAGCAAGACCAGAGACCGTGATCACTCGTGGGGTGGCGATGATTCGACAAGCATCATCAGCGAACAGGATAGACGCCATGCCTCGCATACCTCGTCGTCGTCTGGACGATCCAGTTCATTCACTCGGGACCTGAGGTCCATGACCAGCAACAACACCAGCCACCACTCTTTGGACTCGTCGAGGCATAGCTACTCGAGGACTGGTGGTATGCTGGCCGATATCCCGGATGGTCAAGAATACTTTGATAAAGCATCTCCAGTGGATTCTTCAGGCACATTCTGGTCACCATTCCAGCCAGCCATGTCCACCAGCTCGGCTCCATCACGCTACTCGCCTACTACAAGCCTTACCAATGTGTCCACCACTTTTTCTGCTCCTCAGCACCACACGATCCCATCAATTACAAGCGCCTCTACCGGGCGCCCTAGTACTGCTGCTTCGTCCAATGACACTATTCAACAACATCGCAACGACGACGAGAAGACACGATTTTTGAATGAACTTAAACAGACTCTTATTAGCTTGCTATTATCTGACTTGGGCAACCAAGTCTTGGCTCGTGGATCAGAGACAGACGGCTGGTTCGGGAAGCTCGGACAGCAATGTATTGACAGAAAAGATGCCTTGGAGAGGCGGGCTCGCCGCAAGTCTGACAAGAAGTCTTCGCAAAAGTCGGGACTAGGAAGACTCAGAGGGCTGGAAAAGAAGAGAAGCTTTGGTAATTTGAGAAATGCGGGTGAAGGCACGCCAGGATCGGAGCCCTCTGAAAGCAGCCCGATAGCCTCTCCTGAGTCTCCCATGGCCACCATTGACCCGCCGCCGGCTCCCAAGGAGACGTCGAATGAGTTTCCATTCAAGAAGGCTTACAAGCGTCTCTTAAACATGTTCTGCGTCCATCCCAACCCATATGCGAAGCTCAATGCCCTCAATGAGCTCGAGCAGCTCATTGTCGCATCTATGCTGTCGAGCGGCACCAAAAGATCGCGATGGAACCGATCTGACGCAGGCTCTAGCATTGTGGAAGATCACGGGTCCACCACTCGCCCCACTCCATTGGAGGGCATGATTGACAATGTCAAGGAACGCCGACAGCAAGCCATTCAGTCGGGACTTCCGTCGGTTGGATTTTCATCGTTCCCCTCTCGGCAATCCAACTCCGAGACACGATCCATCGTCTCCGGTGGCGCTTCCAATTCGGACCTTATCACCAAAGAGCTTTATACCCTCTTCCGAGATGCAGGAATTCGGCCAAAGTCTCTCTTCCGTGACCTGCAGTTCATCGCTGCCTTTGTGCCCCCTTCCGTTCTAGATAAACCAGAGAAAGGAAAGGCTTTTTGGAACGCCGGACTTGCAGCACTCAAGCTCAAGTCGGAGGTGTGCCGAACCATGGTGGAGATGGCAGATGAAGTGATTGCTGCCCATTCGCATACTCGCCAGACAACAGATGGTACTACTCCTCTCGACGGACCTCAGTCAACCACCGGCACTCCGCCGCCCCCATCTACTACGTATGGTCTAAACGACGTTGGTAAAATGTGGACGATTACTGCTAAAGAAGGCTACCCCACGGCGCAACGTGAGCTAGCCTTATTCTACTTATCTAACCCTGAATACGTTGAAAGAACAACGCTGCCCTTGTCCAAACCAAGGGAGGTGTTTAAACAATCGGTCATGGAGAAGTATGGCCGCACCCGAGGCAGCCTTGGTGGCTCTGGTGCAGGCGGCCTTGGCGGCGTAGGTGCTTCCTCTAGAGGCCCGGGATCTGGAAATGGCAGCTCTGGGGACGGGCAGCTCGGGGGTGGATCCGAAGGCGACGTCAGGACTGATCCCGGTTTGATGTGCGTCGCTGTCCACTGGATGGAAGCGGCAGAGCAGGGTGGCGACGAGCTTGCCTCGAGCTTCCTACGACAAAATGAGTTTATGGGGCTCAGCTAAACCTTGCAATTCGCATGCAGCTACCCAGTTTGGGATACTTTCAGATATACCCATGAACTTCCAGACATATGCTTGGCTACTATGATTTACCATGATTTATCCTTGCTTTTTGTTTGTCATCTATCAATTTCGGTTTTTTGTAATCTACATGACGCATAATGCATGGAATCAGCAAAACACGATATGAATTCACGAAATGATATGACGGCATTTATTTTAAACGTTTTCCACGCCAAGAGAGATGAGATTTACGACCTTTACAACCCTTGTCATGAATCACCCCAAAAAAAAAGAAGCGACTTTTTTTTTTTTTTTTTTCCTTTTTTTTTCATGTTATTTTTTTCTCTCCATTCTCGGCCGATATAGAATATGAGGGAACCGCGCGGGCTAGCTGGCTGGCTTCTCTGATTTTATGATACCATTCTGTAACGGACGAAAATGGTGTTGGAGTCTCATCCTGTTTCTGCTTTACTTATATATATACATTTATTAAAGCTATACGTTTGTTTCTGCGCCCTATCATGGGCCACTTTTTAGATAGACGGACAACACACGTTCTTTTTTTAGTATCCATTTCTGATACTTTCGCTGTTTTTTGGATATTTTTTGCTATTCACGCACTCGCTGTGGTTTACCTTTTGCGCTGTGAGGGAGGATATACCATGAGTTTTTGAAGAACTTGTTGGATGTGGGATTTTTTATACTTATTTTTCGTGTAGTGCTGAGGTGGGTTTAGGGGAGATTTTAGAAAAAGACTAAAGAAAGAAATGAAGTTGTAAAAAGAAAAACGCATTCAGTCCATCCGGGAAGTGAAAGTAGCGGATACTAGCAACCAAAGTTGTAGGCTGCCAAGTTGCATTTCTTGAGCTGCGGGTATTGATAACTACTGCAGCAGAACAGTATTATATTGCCTCGAAATAACATCGTAGTCGATTTTCTAGCTTGATAAAGTGATCAACAGGCGGATAATGTAGTAGTTGTTCGTACGGAAATAGGGGCAGTGAATCCGGTATCCCTTGATGAGTAACCTGTATATTACCGGAATAAGTGAGACTTGTGGTTGAAGAAGCCGAGGAGGCTCTTGAAGAAAATCACCGTTAGTCGCCTACGTCGCTAAAATTATATTAAATTCACCCGCCCAGGCTGTTGCAATATCTGACAGCCCGGCCTTCAAGTGTCAACATGTGAAATACATGTACGCCCGGCATAGAGATGCAGAGGTTGTATTAGCGTGCGGCTTGAAGACTATGCTGAAGCACGAGTGGGTTGACGAGATGAACATGTAACAACGCGGGCGAGCATTATGCCGATCAAATATACGCTTATGAGAGCAACGCCTCTGTCGGTGTCAATGCGTATTCGTTGTGCTGCTACACACGTATACGCGCCTATTCACCAAAGAGCCAAGCATATTTTAAAGCTTTACTGTACTTGCCTGATAAAGAGGAGAGGGGGAGACTATTGAAAGAAAAGGCCATTAACTTGCGAGTTGACAACTCAGGCATGCTATGCGAAGTAACAGCTCTTAAGCAGCAGCAGAGGAAATATTACTCCTTCACTCTTGATCGGTCCCAGAATTCAAAGTGGCGTGTGCAAGATGTGCCTGATACAATTGCCAATCCAGGCCCATGCACCAATAGCCGGCTTAGTAGGTGCATGCAGTGCCCTAGCCTGGTACTGCGAGGACCTCCTTTGTAAGGTTCAATGTAGTAGCATGTACAGAGAGTCAGTGTCACTGAGAGTTGCGAGTTACGGCATCCAACACGCGGCTAGGCGGCCGAGCAACCGAATTACTGGTAGATATGAGGGGCATGGAATTACTAGACTTGATCTGATCAGTGCATTCTACGTTGGTGCTTTTCAGGCGGGAGAAGTTATCCAGCACCACAATTTCAACACCCCAGCTGTAGCTCAGCCAGGCAGCAAGTCCATGTATTAAGATACACAACTGCGAAACATGAATATTTATACATAGCGGTAGCAGCAGTAGCAGCAGTACATGTAGCCTATACCGTATGTATGGATGGTATAGAGTGCTGAACAATAGAATTGGGGTGCTGGTCATCTTTTCCCGTTTCAGGCGCTGCCCGGGGCCTCCTTGTAAGTGGGGCCCATCAATAGCTATAGCTGAGCTCTAGAGCTCCCGCTAGCAGGCTGCAGCCTAATCTGGCACCAGCACGGCTCCCATGTATATAAGTCCGCGTACAGACAGCAAGCTCTGGTCACGCCCGACGTCCATATCTATCCATCTCCTTTCCTTTCTCTTATTTGCCTTTTCTTCTTCTTTCTCACCACACACATTTCCTTCATCCGTCTCCCTCCATCCGCTTGTCGCAGTCATGGTTGACGGCGCCGACTCGCCGGGAGCTCTGCCGATAGCTCTGCCCCTTCTGCAAGTGCCGCCAGAGATCCTGGATCGAATCACCTGGCATCTCCAGACGACAGAGCTCTGCAACTTTCGCCTCACCTGCAAGTCTGCCGAGCGAGCCGTTCATTTCAGATTCACCTCGGAATTCTTCACGCGCAAGCAGTTCATGGTCTCCGAGTTCAGCCTCAGGGCCCTCGTTGACATCTCCAAAAGCCGCTTCGCTGCATATCTACGCCATGTGCACATCAGCCTCGATCAAGTCGAGGAGCTGGCCAGCTCTCACGTAGATATGTCGTCAAGGACTAGCAGACTGCACCAGCAACGCTTGGTCGAGCAGAGCACTCTGTGGACGCTGGGACTCGTTCCCAAATATCTCGCCGATGCCTTCTCTCGTCTGCCGAATCTGGAGACGGTTGCACTCCGCGACTTCAACTCAACAAGGAGATCTCGAGATGGCCCTCACGCGCAATGGCGCAGCTATGGCTTCCAAACGCTTGTTGACGAGACTGGTGCCTTTCCTGTCACCTCCCGGTTTTTCAACCGGAGCGGTTCGTCCCTTCTTGACAGAGCCAACATCTTCTTCAAGGCCATCATCCACGGCCTGGGCCTGGCGAATGTGAGGCTGAAAAATCTTGAAGTCATGGAGAGGAACTTCAACTTGCTGTTGGACTCTGCTTTCTACTTGCACCCAGATTTCGAAGCCGCCTACGCCGCTGTGCTTGGAAATCTCAAAAAGCTGCATCTTTGCATCGATGTTTTTTGGGCTACTTCCTTCCATGTTACACAGCCGTATCACCAGGAAAATCTCATCAAATTTCTGAGTCATTGCCAAGGCCTGGAAGAACTCCGCATTAACGGGAAACGCGACAGTCACGGCAAAGGCAGCCGTATGAACCTCCATCTGTTCATGAGCTGGCTCGCAGCATCAGAAGCGAAGCCTCTATCGCAGCTCCAATCAGCCGACATATTGATAGATAGCGAAGATGCCCCCCCTCCAGTCGAATTTCCGCAGTTGGGCAACCTCAGCCTAGGAATGATGGCTCTTACTGTCGAAGAGACCGTTCATCTTATCACCAAGTTTGCCGGCTCACTTCAGCACCTGGAATTATGGAGATTTCAGTTGATAGCTGACTCAGACACTGATGTTGACGCGGAAGAGAAGAAGCAGAACTTATTTGTCAGCCTTTTGAAGAGGCTTTTGGCTGTACCAAACCTCAATCTCCGACATATCAAATTGGGCATGCTCCAACAGATGCTGAATGTCAGCGGCAGGTACAACAATAAGATGCAAGCCGTAGAGTTTACCAAAGACAAGCCGGCCAGCACGGATGACGAGAAAGATGCAGCCGCGCCAGTTGCTCAGCATAGTATACGAAAGCCAACAAACAGTAACTTCATGGAGTATACGGGCTCAGACTGGAGGCACTTTGTGCGCCACGAAATGATACCTCGACTGCACATCCCTGATGAATCTGAGAGTGGGTTCCGTTGCCTTTTCCCCGCCGAAACGTGTAAGTGATTGCTAACTTTATTGTTTATAGTGTATATAGTGGATCGAAATAGCTCTGACGAAGAATCAGAAGACGTTAGTGAAGATGAAAATGACGAAGACGAAGAAATGGATGAGTAATTAGACTGGATTTGCTAAGATAATTGGCTATAGGCTGGGTAATGAGGCGATACTGGCACTTGATGAGTTATGATATTTCGGCGTAAACTACTAGTAGGTTCGCTGTCTACCTATTAATATAAGAAAACATTTGATGTTATATACATGTAATATACTTGCTGCTACTGCTGCTACTGCTGCTACTGCTGCTACTGCTGCTACTACTACTGCTGCTGCTACTACTATTACTATTACTACTGCTACTATTACTACTACTGCTGCTATGGCTCTTATTAAGACTTGCAGTTGAATTAAAGAGAAACATATACTGTATGTTGATGCCGCGATAAAGCGCTCAAAGGGCAATCGCAGATAGGCGTGGCATTATTCCATCCAATCGGTTATTGTAGATAGCTAATAAACATACGCGATTGAGGTACGGTAACTAAACTTCCCGAGACTGTTATGTGTCTCTGTAACACCGCGATAGCAACAATAGAACAATAAAAACCCCAAAGCATAAGGTAAGCACAGCTCATGGATACCATTTATCCCTCGGACCAACAATTTAGTGGCAATCGTGCGGCTTCTTCAAGTCACTGCACCATGGCGTGCTCGGGTGACCAGAACAGCAGCGGACCGACCGAGCGTCGCTGTTCCATTTGGTCTTCTCTTTGTTGGACTCGTGTTTCGGGCAGAGCCATGGTGTGTAAAGGTGCTGGCCGGTGAAGGCGGCCGTGTGGTGATTTTTGCAGTTTTGGAAGCTGTGAAGAAGTCGTGGGTTAGTCTCGCTGAAGAGAACATGCGGCAATATATAGACATTTATATATATGCAGGTATATATAGAATGCACATGGTAATAGATGTCTATGATATATCTTGCAGATGATAGGAATATTGCACAAACTCACGTAAACAACATGCAAGCCCCTCCCTCTGCTCCCACGTCCTCCAGCATCTCCTGCATTTTGGGATCCAGAACGCCAAGGTTATCTACGCAAGTTAAATGTCAGCGCCTTCATTCTTTTAAGTCTATGCAGAAGAATAAAAAACTCACAACACTCGCCGTGCTTCAAACCCCTCGAGAAACATGTCTCCGGCCTGGTGTAGTCGAGGCACCACGAAAAGGTGATATCATCGACCAGAGGGGGCTTCTCAGGAGGCCGTCTGGGGGAACTCAACGTTAGGTTTTTGCCCTCCTCGTAATGGCCTGGCGATGGACTGCGGATACTCAGAGAGAAGCCGAGTGAGGCAACGAGGAGGACGGAAAGGAAGATTGCCGAGATCTTCATGGTGGTTAACGTATCAGGGTCCTAGAATCGAAGAAATAGTCGATTTGGTTGGAGAAGAAGAGAAGAAGAGAAATTTCTGCAAAAGGTCTTGCCAAAGAGTAAAGTAGGGACTTTTAAGTAAATTTACATGCATCCATACGCAAACGTATTGCTCCTCTTAAACCTCTGTTAGGGTGGCTTGCAAGAAAGTCAGATTCTCGTATGCACCAGCCATTGCTGTATACCTAGGTAGGTACCTATACCGTACTATAGACAACAATGTGGGCTACAGAGCCAGTTGTCTTTACGTTGAAAGCGGCTATATGTATGATGTGAAAGTTTATTGGCTGGAATATGGAACATTTAAGTTATTCAGCACCCTAATTCTGTTATTTAACACTTGAGCCGGCATCTAGACATGCATGTAGATTACTACTAAGTAAGTACTACATCTGTTATATCCGCTATTGCTACTACATCTGCTACTGCTGCTATTTTTACGCGTGTTTGCAGTTATGAATTTGAACATGTGGGCTGGCTGTCTTATTGAGCTATAGCTGGGGCTGGATAACTTCTCATGTGCTCCCTTAGCAAATTAGTCTCGGCGTTGTAAGCCATCTCCATTATACATATAATTGGCATCTACCAAAGTATCCTATTCGTCCCATAATGAGCGCTTTATCGCGGCATCAACATATCAAATATGTCTTAAATTCAGCTGCAAGCCCCAATAAAAACTGCTAGCCAAACTTATCAAAATTGCGCGCATCAGCCACCGACCCATCCTAGCTCAGAGCTCTGTACCACCCCCCATAAATTCCAGGCAGCAAGACCACTCAGAACCCAGCGCCCTGCGGCACACGTGACGTCGCGGTCGTCTCGCGCCGCCGCCCAGCGAGGTCTAGGCGCGCTGGTGCCTGGAGCCGTTCCGAAGTGGCGCCTGAGAAGCTCAGCTTTCCCGGATGCCACCGCTAGCGGCAATCGCTGGCGGGGGAGCGCTCCACTAAAGTAGGCAGCTCTGGGGCTCTGAGGTCCAGCGACAGGGCCTAATCGAGTAACTGCTGCTGTAGAGCTGACGATACGAGCTAAGCTGCAAAGCATTTAAAAGGGCGGCATCAAGCCGCGTCCAGCTTCAGCTTTTCTTTCGTTTCCTGAGCCATTGAGCAATCAATTGAGTCCTGTTGACGCGTTTTCTGCTTTTCGTCGTGGCATTGAATCGCATTGCACAGGCAGCGTTGTTGAAACGAGCATCCTTCCTTGTCTAATCCCCAGAAAGGCCGCCAGCACTATTAGAGCGCCGGCACCAACATTTCTTCCTCCTCTCCGCCTTTTCTTTTCTTTCAACCTCACTCTTCTTCTCCCTGCCTACTATTCTTCGCATTCACCCCATTTTCCCGACTATTATATACTTTCATTACCACAGTCATCATCATGGCACGTCGAAAAGCTGCCGCCGCTGCACCTGCACCTGCTGCACCCGCAACGCCACCCCTGGACGGACATGTCATCGCCATCAGCGGCAAATTTGACAACTCCAAGCACACCCATGCCTCATTGGAGCAGCTCGTCCGGTCCCTGGGCGGCAGCGTCACCAAGAGCGTCACCAAGACCACCACCCACGTGGTCTGCACTGAAGACGACTACAATAGCAACACGGCCAAGGTGGCTGCTGGCAAGGCCAAGGACCTGCCCCTGGTCGATCCCAAGTGGATCTTCGAGACCGAGAAACAGAACAAGGCCATTGACCCGCAAGATCATGTCTGGGGCAGCGACAGCGCTAAGCCCAGCGACTCACAGGCCAATGGCAAGAAGCGGCCCCTGATGGTCTCCAAGAGCGACGACGACGCAGAGCCCGAAACCAAAAAGGCAAAGACCAAGGGCTCCAAGGCCAAGGGCAAGGCAAAAGCTGCCCAGGCCGACTCCGAGCCCGAAGCTGAGGCTGAGGCTGAAGACAAGCCCGAGACCAAAGAGGAGAAGCAGGTGGCCGAGGGCCAGTTCATCAAGAAGAAGAATGTGGCTATTCCTGTGGATGAGCACTGCCCGCTCAACTCCACCTACCAGGTGCACATCGATCCAGACAGCGGATTGATCTATGATGCTTCCCTCAACCAAACAAATGCATCGCACAACAACAACAAGTTTTACCGTGTTCAGGCAAGTTTAGTTTTCGTCTCACATACGCAGCAGAGCGTACTAACGGAATGTCCCTCAGGTCCTTTTTGAGCCAAAATCCAAGTCGTACAAGACATGGACCAGGTGGGGCCGCGTTGGTGAAACTGGTCAAAGTGCCCTGCTTGGTAACGGCTCCGTTGAAGACGCACTCAGAAACTTTGAAAAGAAGTTCAAGGACAAGTCTGGCTTGACCTGGGACAACAGAGGCGACAATCCAAAGCCCGGAAAGTACGCTTTTGTTGAGCGTAGCTACAACCCTGATTCGGACGACGAAGATGATGCCGATGATGATGCCGATGGCAAGGGCGTCAAGAAGGAAGAGGATGAGGAGATCAAGATTGCAGACTGCACCCTGCAACCCGAGGTCAAGTCGCTCATGGAGCTTATCTTCAACCAACAGTATTTCCAGGCCACTATGACTGCCCTGAACTATGATGCGAACAAGCTCCCCTTGGGAAAACTCAGCAAGGCAACCATCACCCGTGGTTTCCAACAGCTGAAAGATCTTGCAGCCTTGATGGATGATGCTTCTCTTGCCCAGAGCAAGTGGAACATGACTGTGGCCAATGCCACCGAGCAGTTATCCAACTTGTACTACTCAATCATTCCACACGCATTTGGTCGCAATCGGCCCCCCATCATTCGAGACAGCGTTTTGCTCAAGAAGGAAATAGAGTTGCTGGAGAGCTTGTCGGACATGAAGGATGCGGCAGAAATCATGAAGATTGACCGCAAAGCAACGGACAATGTTCATCCTCTGGACAAACAATTCAACGGCTTGGGTCTCAATGAAATGACCCCGCTGGATCACACCAGCAGCGAGTTCAAGTATCTGTCAGACTACCTCAACGGCACCAAGGGCGATACCCATCACCACAGCTACAAAGTCCAAGATATTTTCCGCGTCGAGCGCCAGGGCGAAGGCATGCGTTTCGACGAATACTCAGAAAACAGCAAGATTGGTGCAAACCGCCGCCTCCTCTGGCACGGCTCGCGCGCGACGAATTTCGGTGGCATTCTCAGTCAAGGTCTGCGAATCGCGCCCCCGGAAGCGCCTGTGTCGGGTTACATGTTTGGCAAGGGTATCTACTTGGCCGACATGGCATCCAAGTCTGCCAACTACTGCTGCTCGTACATCTCTGGGGGCCAGGCCCTCTTGCTTCTTTGCGAGGCCAAGCTGGGCGATCCCATGCAGCAGTTGACCAATTCCAGCTACGATGCCGGCAACACTGCCAAGAAGGGTGGCATGGAAAGTACCTGGGGAATGGGTATGACGGCGCCGCCCAAGTGGATGGATGCGGGTGTTGTGCACGAGAGCCTCAAGGGCATCCAGATGGTAAGTTGGCTTCTTATTTTCTTCTTTTACACCATAAACTATTGCTGATTCATTACTAGCCCGATATTACTGAGAAACCATGCGCCACCAACGTGGACGGCGCATACCTCCAGTACAACGAGTTTATTTGCTACGACATTGCGCAAGTCAAGCTGCGCTACCTCCTCCGCGTCCAGATGTAAGCAAGAAAAAAAGGAAATAAAAGGGGTTAAGTTTGGTTGTAGCAATCTCAGGCTACTTCTTCATATTAATATTATGTTCTCTGCGGGAATGAGATGGACAATGGGTCTGGGCATTATGAGAAGGGAGTATCTTCAGCCGGTTTAAAGGGCCATTGCTTTAGGGAGTCATGGACAATATTTGTGTAAGATAGCTGGCTAAAGCGATAAGTATGACATTATGACTAGACGATAATTGATGCATTTCAAAATATGTTTTTATAAGTTGCGACTTCGTTATTCATTCTCGTTATTATCAGATACAGACGACACCATCCTTACTCAACCTAGTCGCCCAGCGGATAAGCATGCAGAATCTGTCCATAATACAGCTCAGCATCCTTGGAAGCCAGGAAAATGAACGACGGCGCAATCTCGCTCGGCTGGCCAGGCCTCCCAATCCCAGATTTAGCTCCAAAGCCCTCCATCTGCTCAGCCGGACGCGAAGCAGGCTGCAGAGGCGTATGCACCGGGCCAGGCGCCACGGCGTTCACCCGAATACCCTTTGGCATGAGTTGTTTTGCCAGCGATTGTGTGAATGAAGTAATGGCTCCCTTGGTGGATGCGTAATCTACCATTGCCGCAGTGCCTCTGAACGCAACAGTCGACGTCGTGTTGATGATGCTGCAAGTCAACCTCACATTAGCAATCTTCATACTGGCGTGTAAGTGGAGGGGGAAAAACTCACGAGCCGCCCTTTTCCATATGCGGCACCGCATACTTCGTCATAGCAAACATTTGCAGAATATTGCTCCTAAACGTGCTCTCCACATTATCCAGGTCAATCTTGGCAATGTCCTCGCACATGATCTGCTTCGAGGCATTGTTGACCAACACATGCAGTGCGCCGAATCGCTCCATGTGCTGCTCGACGGCCTTGCGGCACGTTTCATTGTCCATGAGGTTACCTGGGATGAGGAGGCACTGCTTGCCTTCTTTTTCGACCATTTTCTTGGTCTCGCGAGCGTCTTCCTCTTCTTCGGGGAGGTAGACGATTGATACGTCGGAGCCTTCGCGGGCGAAGAGGACGGCGACGGAGCGGCCTATGCCGGAGCTGTTTTGTCGAATGAGCTATCCAGCCTTGTTTTATATACGAGATTAAGTTTGTGCGTGTACTTACTCTCCGCCGGTGATGAGTGCTTTATTGCCTTTAAGCTTTCCTGCTGCGAGATACTCTTGGTGTCCATGTTTTCCTTCAAGAGCAGTTGTCTCGCTTGAAGGCTTCATGTCCTTTTCCAGCCTGATATAGGAGTATCAGTATAAGTTTTAAAATTGATTCATATATCCAACTTACCCTGGAAGATCTTGGCTTTGAGCTTCTTCCACCGGCTTAAAGCTGCCCGATTCAGTGCGAGACATTGTGTGAAACTTGTATGAAATCTGTGAGTTGTGGTTTACTGCAGGGTAATTGCGTGTAAGACGCGTGCAAACAAGCTGAGGTCTGGGGATCAATTGCTTCAGAGAGCGACAAGTAGCAGATTTGAGCATGGTTTCTCAACTGAGCAAATATATACAATTTTTAATAAGTACATGTCGCTTTATGGGGCTTGTTTTATAATACTGCTTCATTGAAAGCTGACAGGGTTGCGTTTCCGTGATGTCACTCATTTTTTCACCGGACATGACGCATACGACACGGCAGCAATCTCCTCAAGCGACATTGTCAATGGTTGTTAGCTGCAGCCGTTTACCCCGCTGGAAATGTAAAAAGTGAAAAAGTCAGAGAGATTAAATAATAATTAAACATTCATAACATCATGCATGACGGACAAAACTCTCCTGGATATGGTTTCCTTTATAAGCTTGTGAAGATAAACTCGGGCGATCGGCAGCCGCTAGTACGGAGTTTAAAGTCGCCACTTGACATGAAGTAATTATTAGAAACTTGGTCGATATGAGTTACTTACATGTGATCAACTGTTGGCTGAGCACATTTTTGAGTGCAAATGATTGTTACATGCGCTTTGGAGTGCAAATGAATGATGGTTGGTTGACTGCTAATGACAGTTTATAAGTGCAGTTTGACATAGGTCACAGTCTCTCAAGATATTCTTAAAATAACTTGAACCGAATAGCATGTTACAAGCTTTTGTAGTATATTTAATTATCTTCGCGACTATTCAGCTAGAATCCATCAGCGAGCGTATGTCCTCCGTCAACCACCACTCTCTGTCCATTGACAAACTGATTCCCAGCCAAAAACAGCACAGCCTGTGCCATGTCCTCATCTTTTCCAGGCCGTCTCGCGGGAATCATGCTCTCAAACTTCTCACTATCCAGCTGACTCTTTTGTCTCTCATCGCTCTCTCCAGCCGTCATCTCACTGGGGAAAACCCCCGGCGCAATGCTATTGACGCGAATCTTGAGCCCTGCAGCAGCAAACTCCGCAGCCATCATGCGCGTCAAGTGTTCAGCCGCGCCCTTTGACGCATTGTAGCTGAAATGGTGCTGGCTACTCTTAATCAAGCCGGAGATGGAAGTAATATTGATAACAGTAGATGACCACCCAGGGTAAGTCTCAGTCGAATTTTGCAGCAGCGGCAGGAAAGCAGCCGTGGTGAAGTACATGGCCGTGACATTAGTCCGATACGTCTCAAGCCAGTCATCAAACGTCGATGAGTCGCTGTCAAAGAGCGACTTTTTCAGCTCCTCTGCGGATTTCGCTTCTGCGGTGGTGTGCTTCTCGCCACTGACGCCGGCGTTGTTGACGAGGATGCAGATGCATTTCTCCCGCGACTGGATTTCTTCGACGAGGACTTTGATGCCGTCTTTGGAGTTGACGTCTGCTCGGATGGGGATGATCTCGCCGGGAGCATCTTTGCCGTGGGTTGACGCGGCGTTGTCGAGCTTTTCTTTGGTGCGGCCGCAGATGTAGACTTTTGCTCCGTTGGCGGCCAGGGCTTGTGCGGCCATGAGGCCAATTCCGGAGCCACCGCCTGAGAATATTGATGTTAGGTGTGCTGTGTCATTTTATGCCATTTATGGGTATGAAGCTAGACGTACCGGTGACAAGGGCCACTTTGCCGGAGAGGTCAAAGAGCGACTGTCTTGTGAGATTATGTGTGCTTGCCATGTTGATTGTCAAATTGTACCAATTACTGCTTGAGAGGGTAGAATTAGTTAGAGAAAGAAAGAGAGAGCTGTAATTTTATTATCGTGTTGAGTTTTATTGCATTCTAGCTGTTATTCAAGCTCTTGCGCTCCGAAGACGTCATTGAACCGAATGGCGGGTAAATGTGGATAACGCTGGTGTAAGTGGCGACTCGAGATGCAGCAATTACATCTTCGACGTGCATGAGCTACGACTCTATTACGTTCCAGCCGGCGGGATTGCTCCTGGCCAGTTAAAATGAATGATTTGGATCTTGAGATTCAGATGAAGTGCATTAGCTTCTAAGAGGAGTTATGCCCTTGATCGCTGGATATGGTTAGAGTACGTCACGGCAAGGAAAGCCTAAAAAGGTTGACGGCTTCATGTAGTAGCTAATAATGAACTGGACACTGAGATGCATGTCCATGTCCATGTCCACGTAGTATCGGCGCATCTTGATTGATTCAAGCAGCATGGATTTTTACGATAAGAAACAATTTCTTTTTGTCCTTTTTATCCTATCCTACTAAAGCATCGCTTGCTATGTACATCGTATATACGTCATATTCATACCTATATAGCCCTTAAGACCGAATACATTCCATCCCCTTCCATCCAGAGGAACAGCATCCTCAACCACAATCTATGAAGAAACAAACTTGAAGCCCGCGCCAGAACTCTCCGTAGCACCGTTGTTGACCAGCGACCCATCGCTCGCCAGCGTCACCCACTTGCCGTTGCTACCAGCCTTGATCGTGTACACGCCGCTGGCCGCGCCAATCTTCTGGCGGATCGTAAAGACCTCCCACGAAGAGGCCGTGGCACGAGCCGCCTGGATGGTAAAGTTGCCAGACGAGTCGGCCGTGACGAACTGGTTGTTGCTGGTGAGCTTGAGGTTGCCGGCGTTGGGCGTGTAGGAGCTGACGAAGACGCCGGCGTTGGCCTGCGAGCCTGAAGCAACGAGGTTGGACGAGGCGGTGGAGGAGACAACCCATTGGCCAGAGGTGGCGGCCTGGATCTTGAAGGTGCCGTAGGGGTTCTGGGGGAAGTTGGAGCCGCAGATGGGCTGGCCGCTGGGGTTGGGGCGGGTGCCGATGAAGAAGAGCTCGTTGGAGAAGGTGTTTCCAGAGCCTGGCAGATGTTAGTTGAGTTGTTCTGATTGTGAAGAGGAGGGAAAGGAAACTTACCCCAGGTGGTGAGGTTGGCACTCCAGGCGGCGGCAGTTTGGGGATTGGCGTTGGAGTAGGCAGCAATCAAAACGCATCGCCTAGGTTGGTATTGATATCAGTATAACGGCGTCAGAAGCTATCGCAGAACAGTGAAAACATACCAGTCATCAGCAATGGTTGGGTCGACAATCTCGTTCTGAGCATACGACCAAACATTGTTCACCCACTGAGTGTCATACAGCACCTCGTTGACGGGCGTAATCGGCAGCATCTGAATAGCCGCAATCTCGCTCTTCTGAGCGCCCCAGAACAGCCAAGCACCAGACTGCCAGTCCTCGACATTGCCCATCGTGACCAGGTTTCGGACTCCGGCCTCGGGGTAGGGGTTGTTGGGATCAGTCGAGCTCTGCTGGGGGTACAGGTGCCAGTAGACCTGCGCGCCCTGCTGCTCGGTCGCAACGAGCAGCTTGGCGTAGTTGACGTAGTCCTGGGAGAGGGCAACAGTGGCCCAGAGGAGGGCGCCGTAGTAGCCGTTGATGGCCTCGCCGGTGGATTCCTGGTCACGGCTGCCGGCTCCGTTGGCGATACCGGAGGCCCAGGAGTGGCCTGCGAACCAGTCACGGCAGCGGGTGACGGGGAAGTAAGGGTCCTGGGGAGAGGGGTTGATGATATCACTGTCTTGAGGTTAGAGATGAAAGATGTACTTGAGAAGACTAAGAAGCCATACCGAGCAAACCAGTTGATAAAGTCCTTGTGCTGAGCCAGCCACGAAGAGTCGTACTTGGCAATGACGGCAGCAACAGTCAGGAAATAGCCATAGTGGAAGTGGTGATCGTTGTAGTAGCCGTTGCCAAAATCAATGCCAGAGTTGGATGCGCCAGCCTTGTCGATAACGCCGCCCCAGGAGGTTTCGTACGCGGGGGAGGCTCCGGTGGTAGGGGCAAACCAGTTGTTGAAGGACGCCTTGAGGTAGTTTGTGACGTTGGGGATGAGAGCGGTTTGTCCCACAGCTTCGCTATAGTGGCATAAATATTAGCCTTGTACCTTTAAATGGACGTAACAAGAGATCTTACGCAATGAGGGCAAGACGGGCTTGAGCAGCCAGAGTGCCTCCCCAGTAGTAGAACTCGTTGGGAATAGGCGCGTTCGCCACGTTCAGCTGACCAATCTCGTACTGGAGACCCTGGATAACGGCAGAGTTGCAGGAGGAGTCGAGGGCTCGAGGAGGGTTCCAGGTGATGCTGCTCAGGTTGTACAGCAGCTTCCACTGGTTGCCGAGAGTTGGGTACATCCATCCCTGTTTTCAATTCATATGTCAGTAAATTTTCATTTATTGAAGAGCCTATTTTCACTAACCTTTGTGGTAAGGTAGCCTAGGGACGAAGTAGGAGGAGAGTTGGGGCTCTGCAGCGACAAGCGGTGGTGCGGCCAAGTCAGCATCAACAAGTTGGCGCCGCTTCCAACAGTGGCGTAGTTGAAGATGAGAGTGCCCTGCGTGGTGGTGAAGCTGTAGTCGAGGCTCACTCCCGTCGGGTAAACGCTCGAGTATTGGTCGAGCAGAGCCTTGTGGCTGCTCTGCACGAGTCTGACCACTCGGAGCACGCCGTTGAAGGTGCCGCTGGCCTGGATGGTGCCGACTTGGCTGTTGGTGGCGGTGGCCTTGAGCGTGATGGAGGAGAGCGCGTAGATGAGGTACGTTGTGCCGGTGGTGTCGACGACGGTGAACTGGGTGCCGGTGGCGGATACTGAGTCGCAGCTTTGTTAGTCAATAGTCCTCATACATCAGTATCCGTAGAATACTCACCACTCTGTCCGTTAGCAATGGACTGTCCGTTGAAAGACGCAATGCCGCCGTTCCGCGACGTCAGCAGCGGCGTCGCAGCGCTGTACTGAAGCGTAATGTAGGGCGATCCCGGAATCAGGGGAGACGTCAAGGAGGCGCTGCCCTGGAAGTACTGCACCGTCACCGAGTGCGTGTCAAAGGCCGTGGCCTTGTGGTTGGCAAAGGCGCCCGAGTGCTCGACGAAGCCCGCGCGCCAGTCGTTCTGCGTGGGCTGCTTGATGGACGTGCCGTCGAACTGGCGGCTGTTGCTGACGCC